GCGTATTTCCGGGAGAAGATCCAACTGTTGTCGGAGCTTTTCTTCATTGCTTTCCGAGTCAAAAGTCTTGACTCGGGGGTTTGGAATTCCGATATCAATGGAAATGACAGCCTCGATGCCGAAACACAGATTATATGGAGTTTCTCCAGTTGGAGTACGCGCAGTTGTGCGATAGGCCCAAAGGACGTTGTGCACCCCTTCTACCCATTGCCCCCAGCCTTCTCAAGTCGAGTTTTCAATCCTTCGAGCACAGTACGATTCGTTGTTTGGGGGTGCGCCACAGCAGTGTGCACCAACTGAATGTGAAGATCCTTACAGAATGATGTGAAAACTCTTCCAGTGAATTGAGTCTCATTATCTGTGATAATCTTCGCAGGAAGCCCCAAGCGACACAGATGATGTTTTTCCAGACAAACTGTTTTGATTTGCCTCAGTGATCTTGGCAAGCGGCTCTGCTTCTACCCATTTGGTGAAGTAGTCGACAGCTACGATGATGAATTTTTGTTGTGCAATAGCTATCGAAAATGGCCCCATGATATCTACCCCCCCATTGAGCAAAAGGCCAAGGACTTAGAAAAGAAGTGAGTTTCACTGGCGGTGCATGTGTAAGATTGGAGTGTAGTTGACAATTTTTGCATTTTTGCAAAACTCTAATGCATCTTGTTTGATCGTGGGCCAGTAGAAGCCTTGCCTCATTATTTTAAGAGCAAGTGCCCTGCCACCAAGATGCTCCCCACATATTCCGGAATGAACTTCTCGCAGAGCATAATCAGCTTCAGATGAAGGAAGACACTTGAGATACGGACCTACAAATGCCTTCTTATACAGCTCATCCCCTATAAGAATGAAGTTGGCATCCATGCGTCGGATGCGAATTGATGTAGTAGCATCATCTGACAGTGTTCCATCTTGGAGGAAAGAGATGATGGGATCCATCCAAGATTTCTCCCTTGGGTCATCTATAGACAGTATCTCCCACGGGCCATGGATGCTAGGAAAATATATCTCCTCAATATACCAATATACATAGAGATCTCCAGTTGTTGAAGTCGCAAGCTTGGAGAGGGCGTCAGCTCGGGTGTTATGCTCTCGAAGTATATGAATGAGCTGACATGAATGTATATGAATGAGCTGACATGTTTCAATTTGGGCGAGAAATGTTTTAACCAGACTGAGATACTGCACTAGTTGTAAGTTATGAGTGTCAAATTCTCCTTCTACTTGAGACACAATAAGTTGTGAATCAGTGTATATAATAATATTTCGTTCTTCGCAGTTGTTGGTAAGCTTTAATCCGGCGACAAGCGCTTCATATTCAGCAACATTATTGGTGGCCGGGAATTTCAAACGAAGTCCGTACTCCAAAATGTCTTTCTTTGGGGAGATGAGTATTATTCCTGCACCAGCTCCTGAGTTTCCAGATGCTCCGTCTACATATAGTGTCCACTGAGGTGGTTGTGGAAGAGAAGAGGGTGGTTCATCAGAGGTAGGCACTGTACATGCTACCACAAAGTCGGACAACGCCTGTGATTTAATGTTTGGACGTAGTAAATAATGGATATCAAATTCTCCTAATTCTACTGATCATTTAACTAATATTCCTGATGCTTCTAGTTTTTGTGGGATAGCCTTTAAAAGAAGTTGCGTGTAGACGCCGATAGTGTGAGCCTGGAAGTACGA